CCCAGATTCAGGAGAATCGCAGTACTGCTAAATTGTGCCAAGAAAATGGAGTGACTCTCAGCACGTTTAGGAAGAAAAGAGGACACCAGATGAGAATTCAGTCATTCGCCAGTAGGAACAGCACAATGCATAATTTCTTATCTCCAAGTTAAACTCTGCAATGATACAGGCCACCATTTTCTTTGAACTCAAACAGAAATTTAACTGGTGACTCCTTGCACAAAACCTACAAAAAATATACAACATTTGTAATGACTGCCATAGCTTGCACTTATTACTCTTTCTTATTAATGGCTGTAGTGAAATGTCAGTAATGCAGTAAAAGACACTTCACCTAAAGCATTACCCCACGTCTTCTCTCTCCTATGTACTAATGGCAGAATGAGATTCCCAAACTGCAAGTGACTAGGCCCTAGATGTGTTTATGCAGAGAAAAGCAGTGTGTTAAAGTGGTTTTCTCACTGTCATTTTGGTCTCCATATGTTTGGAGCAGGAGTGGGAGTGCTTTCACCCTGTTTGACAACAGCCTGACAGCTCACTGCTGTGGGTTGTTGGCATGGTATCAAGCAGTGTCACTTTTAATTCACACATTTCAGGCTGTCTATCGCAATTATGGCAATGCTAATCCAGATTTACATGTAACTTAGAATAATGATGGTTTAAGTTATAAAGATCATCAGATGCCTAACTAGAGTCCTGCCACAGTATGACTTGCCTCTGTGACCATCATGCCCAGTTCCTCAGATACTTAAATCAACAGATTTAGGGTCAAAGTAAGAGGTAGAGGAAGAGAAACTGATCCCAATTGCTCATGACAAAGAAATCCCATTCCTCACACACACAGATTCACATATACATATGCGAATTCACACACACATACACAAGTGCTCAAGCACTCAATCAATGACCATTAGTAAAAGGTGACTTTATAGGCACAACATTGTACTAAGTGTTTGCTACAGCCCCATAGCCTTCACACTTTTCTCACCACAGTAATTCACCATACATATTTCCCACCCCAGGAGCATCACTTGGTCAAACTCAAGGCAGCAGGTACCATGTCCTTTTTATTGTCAGCCATACTCCAGCATTGCCTTGAAGTCAGCCCTCTCTGGGCTCAGTCAGGTAAATATATGTGAAGAACGGGAAACACTGTGCATAAACCAGCACAGTATGCAATCACACAGCTGCAGTCATTCTCCTGAACAGTGTTTCACTACGGCTTGCAGAACAGGTAAGAGCAGTCATTGTGGCTTATATCTGGATAGGAACCTCACAGAAGACACAATCAGACATGGAAATCTCGGCGGTGGTCCCAACATATCATGGACCACATGCCTCCTTTGTTATGCTGTCAGTGTAGATTACTGTGGACAGTTTAGCCTGTTCATGGCTGTGCACAGCTTCAGAGAGGTGATGCTTGCAGTAAGCTTGCCAATCCCAAACCTCCCCAACCAGTTAGAGGTGACAAGGGTAACATACTGTATTTCACTGTCAGTACGAGCTCTCAGAAGGTGTCATGCAGGTGTTTCGTGGCAGATGGGTACATACTGGTGTTCATCTCAAATGTCTGGCCCTATCTGATGCCAGCAGTGAATGCTGGCACTCCAAGTCCAAACTGTTCTCTTGATCATGAGTAGACTGAGAAGCCCAGAGGCAGAAGTAGCCTCCCAAACCAATATTAGAAACCTGAACAGGCTGTCCATACACTTACTATTAGTCTTAACATAGGTAGGCTTTGAGGCATTTTCGGATACATATTAAGTTTGGCATTATTGCAGTGCAATCGCATACAGTCCACTTGTAAAGAAGCTAGCTTGAAGTAAGCTCTTCCCTAAACTTGTAAGCTACACCATGCCATTTGTTTTGGGGTGTATGACTTGACTAGTGTAGAAATAACCTAACATCATCCTGTGTATAACTAAATACTACTCCTTGGATAAGTGAGAGCAGTCCTACACAGAAATCATCAGCTCGTTTTTATTCAGACATCTTTTATAATGTACAAAGAGATGCTGCAAGAATGATATATACAACTTATTCATGTGAAACCACTATGCCTTTGCTAATTCACACACTAGATAGCCACTATTAACATACTCACCAGCCCCAGTAAGGCAGCCAGTGAGCCTGTGCACTGTAAACATCAGTCAGGTAGGGGAAGACTTGGCTTCTTAATCCTCATAACAGGATGATTCTCAGTGTTGCTGAGTTTCCATTTTCTGATCTCTGCTTTTAAGGATTTTTTTATACCTTAAGGTATAGATTTTTTTCCTTTTGTATCCTTGAGCTGTTATTTTTTAATGAAATGTTTCTCTCTGTGCTTTTACTTCTCTCCCTTTGCATAGCTTTAGTTTCTTCACTTCCTGCTATTTAAGCAATTTTCTCATTAAAACTGAGCCAAGACCACAGAGATGTGCCACACCAAACTAGACTTTGGATTCCAGACAACTGAACCCTTGGGCAAAGGGCTGCCCTTAGTCTCATCCAGCAACCAAATTTTCTTAAGTAATGAATTCTGGGCCTCCTTCTCATGGCCTGTGTCACTGCTCAGATACATGCTTTGTGCTAGGCAAATCTTCCTCTTCACCACTTGGGCCAACTTTAAGAATTTTTTTTTTATTTTATTTTTTTTTGCCACCTTGAGTTGTAGCACATAGTGACAGAAACACCCCAAGCACTCGCAGGGTACAGTGAACCGACTGTGTCAGACTGCAAGAGAGATGAGGAAAAAAGCAGGCCATAAGCCCTAAACACAAGCAGACATTGTCATCCTGGCAGAAATGTGCATTTTACCAGAAAAATAATGAACAAAAGCAGAGTAAAGGCAGCAGAATTTGGTCTAAATATATCGCACTATTGAAATATCCATTAATTTTATAGTACTACTAGAAAAGCTTTCAATTTTCCAGGTTGAGTTTTGCTTTTTATAATCTCTCCTTAAAGGATTCTTTTCTTTTAATACCCTTTCCATTGGTTTCTCAGATACCTTGTAGACTGTAATTGCCAATATACTCCCATTTTTCGTATATGGACAGAAGCTGTTTGAACAGATAGAGCAATTTTTTTTTTAAATATGCATAGATGAACAAATTTACAAACCCAAAGGTCAATAAAAAAAATCCTCTTTTCCCCTTCCTATAATCCCAGGATTCCTTTCTCTTCTTTGTATTCCTCCCACCTGTGGGGTTCAATTTATCACTGGGCTAATTTAAACCTAATCCATACTGTGTGAATAATTCTCTTGGCTAGACATGCTGGATGGCATTTGTGTTCCACAAAAATGGAATTCAAGAGGAAAATAAAGTTGGGATTGGATCAAATTCAGAACAAAGCAAATCTTTTGAATAAATGAGCGGAGAAGCTTACTACAACTTTTGAAAATCATGTCGATCACACTGATTCGAAACGTTAATTTTTCCCACTTCAGTGCTTTACTGAAAACAAGAAATACTATCAGGTCCTTGGTGGGTAGAGCTATTACACCTTGCACAATATTTATAACACATTTATGAATGTGTCAAGATGTAAAAATATCTATTGTTAAAATTTTTCAGTCCTTTTTTTGTTATATTTACCTGTATGTATTCATTTCTGTACCCAGGAACTCTCTCTTGAACTCACTGAAATGCTTTTCTCAACTGATTTTTTTTTTTGTCACCATCAGGTTAATGACTGTGCTGTCCACAATATGGACACACTTCTGTTTTTTTTCCACTGAGAAAAGAAACTAATGCAAAACCAAACTTTATATTTCTATCAATCTGTTCATGGCATTCTGAAGGACATGTGTGCCCCTGTATCAGGGATAAAATGTATAGTTTACCTATAGGTAGACACCCACTGAATGCTGAATTTCTGTTTGCACAGTTCCAAAACTCAAAAGTTTAAATGCTGCCTGGATTGAAATTGCACCAGGTTGACTAGTGCAAGAGGCTGAGCAGGCTGAAGACTATTCCATTTAAGCTGGTTTTAATTTTAATGTTTTAACAGATGATAATATTTTATAAATTAGTTCATCGCATTCATTTTAATGAAAGCAGCAGCAATTCTCATTAAAATATTAGTCTTAACCACAATCCATAGCAGTGTGTCAGAAGGCAAAATGCTCCTGTACACCAAGACAGGGCTGTGATGCAAAGGTCTTGAACACACACATACCTGTGAGGTGATTTGTGGTTAAAGAATCAAAGGATCAGCTAGAAAGCAATTAACTCATGCAAGCATCAACAGTCTGCTTCTTTCAACTTATAAAGCATTTTAGAAGCAAACTGCTTCCAACTGGATCCAGGCTCAGGCAGCATTGTGAGGGAGCAGCACAGGGTAAAAATGAAAAAAAGAGCTTAAACTGAAGAGGAAGATGGTGATTATTCCATGTTGGCCAGGAGCGCAGATGGCAAATCTGCCTGCACTCTCCAGCTCGCACAGACACTGCCTGTCCAAAATGGCTATGAGTATTGCATGGCAGGGAGGAATCACTGTGCATGCTGACTGCTGTGGGTGCTGACACAAATGTGAATAGTTCCCTGATTATTTCACAAACATAAGTGTGTGGTGACAAAATGTGACCAAAGTTAAGAGCATGGGAGTGTTTTCCTTCCCAGCAATGTTGACATTCATTCTCAGACACTTGAAATATGTGGAACTAGATTTGCAGGACTGAAAATAAGAATCGCAATAAACACTTTGCAACAAAAATACAGCTTTATTTAATTTCAGCATTCATTATTATTTCAAAAGAAAATATGCTGTTATATTGGCCATCTCTTAAATTAACAAGCTCTTCAAAAAATGATATTACAATATGTCATGTTCACGTGTGCTTCTCTGGGGTTAATTATGCTAGTACATGGTCTCTTGAAAGAGTTTTATTGTTATTACGGCTTTGCAATTGGCATACTGGAAGCATTTTTGTTGTGTTTGGGGGTTGTTTAGTTTGTTTGTTTGTTTGTTTGTTTTGTGGTGTTTTGTTGTTGGGTTTTTTTTTTTTTTTTGAGGGGTTATTTTAGTGGTGTTTTCAATAACATTTGTTCTGTGGATTCCTTCTCAGTACAGAAACAGGACTCAAAATACTCCGCAGTTTTAGCTCTTGAACCTAATCCGAGGCTGCAAAAGAAGAGTTTTTACATGAACAAAAGTTGTCAAAAATACAGATTAATAAACTCTATAACGTGCACTGAGGTCATTTAGTTCTCCTAGTTTATACAACTTGAGGATCAAGCTAACAAATGTAACTCATAGTTCAACAGAAAAAAAGTTCTGTGTCCCTGCCCATAGCAAGGTGTTGGAACTACATGATCTTTAAGGCCCCTGCCGACCCAAACCATTATGTTTCTAATTTATCTTTATAACAGTCCATTATGAAGACATCTAAATTGCTGTGTCTCTACTCTGTCCTTGTTTCTTCTCTTCTGTGTGAAGACACCGAAACCTTTAGAACTTTTCCAGATGTTCCATTTGTTTCCCACATCCCATGCAACTGATTCTTCACTAATACTGAACAGAGACAAGTAATTACCTCCACCATGTTATAACCACTGCCTTCAACATCTCCCTGCAATATAATTTTTCATAACATTACCTCTTCAATTTAGATTCAGTTTGTGGTCCTCTGTAATCTTCAGGGTTTTTTCCAGCAGCATTACAGTAATTCCTTTTCAATTTATGCTGCTTTTTTTGTTTGTTTTTTTGTTTGTTTGTTTAATTTGTCTTCAATGAATTTTATCATATTGATTTCAAGACCATCTCTCTAAGGTGACATTTTCTGAATTCTAACCCTGCCTCCTTAGCTTCTTGCAAGTCCTCCCAAGCAGACAGTATGTGTAAATTTGGTATGCTTACTGTCTATGTGACTGAGCAAGTAATTAGTGGCAATGTTTCATAGTGCTAAAGATAGAAGACATCATTGTGGAAGCCTGTATAAGATGTTCTCTCACTGTAGTAATAAATGATTGCTATCAGAGTCCAGCTTTGCAATCAGTTGCACATCTTGGACAGAGCCTTGGGTGACATGGTTTAGTGTGAAGTGTCCTTGCCCATGGAGGGGGTGTTGGAACTTGATGATCTTAAGGTCCTTTACAACCCTAACTGTTCTAGGATTCTTATGTGAATTTAATTTAGTCTGTATCTGCTTTGCTTGCTTATGAATATCATGTGGGCCTCTCTCAAGGATGTGCTGTACCAAACACATCCTCTGTATCTGTTTTGCTGTTAAAGTGGGAAATGAGGATTTATTTCTGACATGTCACTGTGCAAGTCATCTCCTTATTATTAGGTAGCTGCCTACAAGTGCATTGTTTAAGACTATACCAGTGTCTTGGAAATGCTATTAGGGCTGATTTTTCTGTAATTCTTTAGATTTTCATTTCCTCCTTTGTTAGATATGACACTGTGTTTGCCTTTCTCCAGTTTTCTGGGAACTTATTCATCCTGCTAATCACTAATATTTGAGAAATTGCTTTGATTGAGTATTTTAAGGGTAGGTTTCATTAGACTGTGCTAATTTATGTCAGTATTCCTTCAGACATTTCTTTCCTTTTCTTTTCATGATCCTACTCCCAAATCCTTAATAATAACTGAAATAAACTTTTACTCACAATTAACCTATTTTTCTGAAAACTGGAACAAAGAAAAAGGTATGGAACATTTCAGCCTTTTTTCTTTCACCTATTTGCTGACCTCCCCCCATCAAGTACTATGTTATATCTGCTCTCAAGCATAGTTTTGAGCAACCTGGTCTAGTAGAAAGTGTCCCTTCTCATGGCAGGGGGGTTGGAACTACATGATCTTTAAGGTCCCTTCTAACCCATTCTATTATTCAGTGACTCCATGATTTCCAATATAATATTGTTTAACTCTAGCAAACCATTCATTTTAATGAGCACTATGTGGTTATGTGCTCAAATATAAAATAATCTTATTAATCTTATTTCAATCACATTACTTCAAAATCTAATTCCAGACTACACCTCAATTTTTTCGAACTGTTTGATTGCATCCCACTTGGAATTAATTTAATTGTGGCTTTATTCTGCAAGGTTAAGAAGTAGAGTTATTCTGCATTGGTAATTACTAATGGAAAATCATTCACCAAATATAGACAGCTTATTACCCAAACATTAATTTTGCAGCTAAAGCATCCTATCATCTTTTAAAACAAAACCATAAAACTTTGTTAAAGTGAGAGTAAAGATATAGTTACATATTCAAAGTGGTACTGTAATTAACTCAGAAAAATAGTAATACTCACCATTATAGCTAAACAGAACCTCTTTCATTGGCAGCCTGTAAAAAAGGGAATTAAAAGGTGAAAATGAAATGGAGACGAGAATAAAAACTGCAGTATGTTAAACAGGCACAGTTCTACAAACTGGTGGATAACTTCATACAGCACAGTGCCTCTTAAAAACATTGGTTTCCTGCACTGTTTATTTATAACTCTGCCTACTGAACAGTGGATGATTTTTAAGACGTTGAGATGTTTGAGGAAGTGTACTGCACATAGCAGATTTCAACAGACAAACATCACCTTGGCGAAATGCATGTTAGAGGACATTTTAGGCTCACGTCTCTTTTGGACCTCACCCTGGAAGAACAGAGCTTGTGGCTAACCATTCATTCACATAGCATGGATGCTGTTTTCATCCACCTTAACAAGGCTTTTGACACAGTCTCCTCTTGCACCTCCGTATCCAAACCAAGTAGGGTGGACTACAGCGTGGATGAATAACTGGCTGCTGGATACCTGCCTAAAAGATAGTAGTCAACTGTTCAACGTCTCTGTTCTAGGTGGAATTTCAGAGGATGCTAGTATGGCATGGGTGGACATGGGTGGTAGGAGAGCCAGGAATTATGGATGTTGCTAACTTGGAGAGGAAGGGGAGACTGATACGTGAGGGTATGGCTCCCATATAGAGGACTTTTGCAGATTAGAGGAATGTGCTGGCAGAAGCTTCGTGAGCAAAGGCAAATACAGAATCCTGCATCTGGTGGGGGACAAGGTGAATGGAGGAAGTGAACAACCCTGTGCAACAGTACAGGCCAATGACTGACTGGCTTACTGGCAGGTCTGCGGAGGTCTGACTGGCACCAAACTGAACGTGGGTTAGTCCACGCTTCTTGTAGTAAAGGATAACCTCATCTACAGTTGCATTAACTAGAGCATAGCCAGGAGTTATTATTCTGTTTTGCTAGTCACTACTGAGGCTGCATCTGGAACACAGTTTCCATTTTTGAGCCCTCCCAATAGAAAAGAGTTTAAGTCAAGCAAACACAAAAACACAGCAGGGGATCATCAGGATGGTGGTGAGCGTTCCCTGATTTCTGGGAAAGGCGTATGATACATGAGGGGGGGCTACATGGTTTGATTAAGCTGAAAAGTAAGTTAAGGGGTATCTGTTTTCCCTCTCCAGATACTTAATAAGGGTTTATAGACAGCTCAGATTTGTATGGTGAAAGAAAAGGAGGTAACAAACGAGGAAATTATAACTAGCCATAAGGAAATATATTTGTTAACACGAGTGGTCAAACACTACAAATAATTATATGAAGACAGGCTGAGAAAGTTGGGCCTGTTCAGCCCAGAGAAGAGAACGCTGCATGGAGACCTCATAGCAGCCTTCCAGTATCTGAAGGGGGCCTAAAAGGATACTGGGGACGGACTCTTCATCAGGGACTGGAGTGGTAGGAAAAGGGGTGATGGGTTCAAACTTAAACAGAGGAAGTTCAGGTAAGATATAAGGAAGAAGTTCTTTACTGTGAGGGTGGTGAGACACTGGAATGCTCCATCCCTGGCAGTGTTCAAAGCCAGGTTGGACAGAGCCTTGAGTAATATGGTTTAGTGTAAGGTGTCCCTGCCCATGGCAGGGGCATTGGAACTAGCTGATCTTAAGGTCCCTTCCAACTCTAATCATTCTGTGATTCTATGATTCTGTGATTCTGCCATTCTAATTACTTATGCATTACTTAAGTATTGAATAATAAAAAGCTTCTTCAGACTACAGCTGTGTTCTGACTACTTATTCAGGGCAAGCTCTTCTCCTCTAAAGTTATTATGCAGTAATAAGCTGTTGTCTAAATTAGACCAAATACAACAGTTGCTTCTTAAAACCAAATATAATTAGATTAAAATTGCAGTTTAAATTACATACTGGCATTTCATACTTTCTCTGTATTACATTTTTATTATTTATCTATATGGTATACACTTTCAGGGTTTTAAATGTAAACCTACTGTATAAGTAGTACATACACAGTAATACTTCTTATAGCTATCACATTAGAAATAAAATCTCAGTAATGCATTAAATGTTTTTTCCTGTTAATGCATGGTGATTTACACTGCCCTTTCATGTCAGAAAAAACTATAACTGAAATATTTTACTTAAAACAAGGCGGTATTATTGAAGCTTGCTAAAAGTATTGCCCAAATACCTGTTGCAAGCATAAATTAATATTTAAAACTAAAAAGTTTAAAGCATTGCTAAAGTACAAATAGGATGTCTGCTAATATTTAAAGTTTTTTGCTAGATAATTCACAAGTGTTAATTGTTTGGACTTACCTTTCTACTTATAAATATCAGAAGACTGCAGTCTATTGTTCCCATTTAACCACCCACCCATTTAGGAGGTTAAAGAATTTGTTACAGTTAACAGCTGAAAGTCTTATTCTATAATAAAAGAAGTAATTATTCCTAATTTTAATGCTTATTTGGTGGGTCATCAAATTTTCAGTTAAATGAACTGTTGTGATGATATGGAGACAGCCTTGGGCTGCAGTCTTTGGTTTGTTCAAAATAAACTAGTGGTTGGTGAGACTATCACTTCACAGACATACTGTTCATTTTGCTCCAAAATATTTTGGAAGATCACAGGTTAAGTCAGAACAGTTCTCATTTTGGATGTAAGTGACATCAAAACATCAAAGGATTTTCTAATTTGAATTATCTAAGAGTTGTTTTAATATGTATTGCTGTTGTCCTATGCCTGATTATTTGTTGCCTTAATCTCTCTGCTTAGACTTAGTATGTGCAGCATTCTTTACGAATTGCCTAATGTCCCCTAGCTAGTTAGATAATTCATAAACTCTGAAAACCAGTGGTGCTGTAAATATCATTCTGACCCTGCATCCCAGGTGTGGGAACAGAATTAATGCTGACTTTCTCACAGTGTAACACAGCCATACCCTGTGGCCTGGCTAGCTATGGAGCTGGCAACAGCACTCTACCACACTAGTCTATTCCAGCTCTTCACTATCTGGAGGACAGGGCTGTAATTTTATGCAAGACTGAAAGTATAAAGTGACTAGTGTGTCTGTGATGTGACAGGTAGAAACCCTGCGTTTATGTCTCCAAGGAAAGCACTAGGAGAAACACAGTCTTCTGCCTCAATATGTCAGGGTAGGACCTGCACCAAATGGAAGAAAGCAGTTGAACAAAGGAGGTGAACATGTGAGTAAAAGCAGCTTCTGACACAGTTCCCACTAGTTTTATTAGGTATCTACAATATCCTGATTCTTGCTTTGACAGGGATCTTCTTTACAAGTTGAAAACATATTGAACAGTACATGAGAGCTGAATCATTCCAGAATACCTAAGCACTACCAGCAACCTCTCTCAGGCTGTCAGAATAACCTGGAGGAGAAGGCAGACTGTACCCTACCCTCGCATCTTCATACCAGAGGCAGGGGAGTGCAAGCCTCTGCTATGGGCACAGCCCATGCTCATCCATCCCTGCTCCATAGTTATTATGCTGCCAAGCAACTTCATGGGGGATTTTGTAAACTCTGGGATTTTCTGTGTAAATCCACGGTACAATGACCAGGGTTTTTTTAACTGGAAGAACATCACTGTGCTCTGATAGTGCCAGTTGTGTCGGAGCTTTGGTTTAACATTAAAACCCTTACATAAATCCTTTAGTACAAGGACTATTTCATAAAATGGGTGCATTTTCTTCTTATATGTAGAGTCTATCAATGATTAGTACTAATGCTGACCTCTGACCAAGAACACTCCTTAAGAAAATAAAGATTAAGAGCAATGTATAATAGAACTTTGGACCTTACTGACATTTCATTTTCATAGAATTTCAGATTTCAAGGACTTTTGTTATTGAAGCATTTTAAAATGGAGCAGGTCAGATGATTGTTTCCTCTTGTAAAAAAAAAAAAAAAAAAAAACAAAACAAAACAGCAAACAAACAACAAAACAAGCCCAGACCTTTCCCCCTCCCTTGAAAAAACCCAAACCCAAAACAAAAAAGAGCTTCTTGCACAAAAGTCAGTGAAATTCTGTCACACTTGAAGTCAATGAAATAAACTTTTTCTCATAGGGTCTTTTTATGAATGTTGCCCTGCATGCAATGTCTTTTTGTGACTATATGGGAACTTATGCCCCCTGTTCCTTCTAAAGATTCTGACACAATACAATTCTGAGAACGATTATAACATCATAACCTGGGCAAACACAAGGTTTACTTGAAAAGAAGACAGTATTGAAAATTACTGGTGTATGTCTTGGTTAAGGTTTTAAAGGCAGCATCCTTCAGATCTCTTCCCGTTAAAAACACTGTCTGTAGAAAAGGATTTTTCTAGGAGGAGAATGTCCCTTATTTGCTTTCCTGATTTCTCATTGACAGATCTGATTTGCTTCATGCATGAAGACAAGAATGTTGTTCTTCTGAATACAAAGGTAACTCCTTCCCATCCCCCCTGACCCTGAATACTTTGCTGTGAGGAAAGCAATACAAATTACTAAGCAGAAGCTAGCAGCACCTTCCTTTCTTTCCTTCTCTCACTCCTTCCTAAAGGTCAAGGATGTGCTTGCATTTCACAGAGCATCTGCCCAATCTTTTTTGGAATTGCGTAAATCACACTGATGTTTTCTCCGTGTGTTTTTAGCTCTGAGGGAGGAACATTGTGGGAGAATCAGTATGAGCCTATACATAATTTTAGATAAAAAATTGCATTTCAGGGAGGACAGAGAGTACAAGACAGGGATCTAGAAATCTTATTACCACAGTAGGAGTAATGCTGGGCTTATACCTTGGCAGAATTTTTCCTAATCAGTTTATACAAACAGGACTTCACTGATAAAAGGGAAACATTAAATTAGGTGGACACCTGTGAGTTGTGTAAACTCATAAAGTGTAAATTCAGTATAAGCAGTTCCCAGATAGGTTCCTAAATAAGAAGGAACAACATAGATGCTTGAAAGATATTGTGATATTAGAAATTATCAACCAAGAACTACCACTTCCAGAGCAGCTAGAAAAAGTGGCTTGAATCTTCTGAGCTGCTTCTCTGTTTCTCTCTTGTCTCTCTCCAGGACTGCATAAACATTGATGTCCTTCTGAGTATCAGTGCTGTATATTTCCCTCTCCAGCAATAGATCTCAAGGGAAACAGATGTCTTTGTTCAGTCCTTCTTGACTGAAAATAAGCAAAGAGGATCATCTTTAGCCGTATTTGTGTCTTCTTTGCCCCTTTCTAAATATGGTAAGACATTGCTCAGTCAACATGGCCAACATGCTGTACCCTGCTCACCTCCTGCTAAAAAGAAGATATAACTGGGGGGGGAGAGAAATTAGATAACATTCCCTGTGCAAGTACTTTGAAAAGTTCACTGGAGAAGACTTTGATTTGTAATAGAGAAAACAGAAAATGTGTCATCTCTTGATGTTAATTCCTGACCAGCTTGTGGTGAGCCTGACAAAATTCTTCCTGCTACGCATGGACTGGATTACACCTGTATAGTCATCCTCAGATACAAAATACAAATTAGTGACAGGCCCCAGGGAACCAGCACAAATAGCTTGCTCAGCTGAACCAAATAGCATTTGACATTTTTTTCCAACTTTAAAGCTGTTTGCTTCCACCCAGCATTATTGTACATGGTGAATGACTGCCACCCAATAAGATGATAATCAGTGGAAAAACAAAGAGTACTGATATCAGCCCAGATAAATCCTTTTGCTTCCAATTGATTGTCTTTAGTCTTTGTAAATGCAGCAACAAATGAATTCTAAAGGTCATGGTACAAATGTTCCAACTGTGGGAGTACATTAAAGTTTTTTAATAAATTTCTTGCTAAAAATTCTGTTCAAAGTGTTTCTTCAAAATCAAGGCAGTTTTCTGAAGATAGTTCTATATATTTTATCTGCCTTGGAACAGACCAAGTTGGCCTCCAACCAAAGGAATTCTGCACTTCTGCTACCATTGTCAATTCATTATTAAGAATATCTCATGTTTTTAAGAATATCTCGAAGTAGTCTAACTTTATGATGTCAGCATGAGATGTTTCACTTTCTGAAGTGATCTCAATAATGCATCAGTTAAACTGTTTGTCTTCTTTCTTAAAATAAATGTTTTTAAAAAGATTTGACTTTCCATTAGGTCTACAAAGCTCTTCCTCAATGTGAATGATGAGAGATGGGGGTTGAGCTGCTTGTTTTCTTCTATATTTTCAAATACAGAAAAATCAGCTGCTTCATCAAAGTCTGCATATATATACATATAAACACATGCATACTTACTATATACATACAAACACACACACACACGTATATATGGAAAGGACATGATCATGTTGGAGATGGTCAGTGGGCTGGAGCACCTAACCTAGAGAGACAGGCTGAGAAGGTTGGGCTTTGTTCAGCCTGGAGAAGGCTCAGGGGAGACCTCAGAGCAGCTTTCTAGTAACTAAAGGGGCCCTACAAGAAAGCTAGAGAGGGATTACTTTCAAAAGCCTGCGGTAAAGAATATGATAGTTAATTAAATTACATATGTTTATTTCAACACCAAGGCTGTAATTCAGCTTCATGAGCATGACCTTCTTGGAAAAAAGACTTGCCTGAGACAGCAGAATCTTTTTAATTTTATCTAAACTGCCTCAATAGAAAATTGATCACATGTAGCAGATCACTTCTGCTCATACTGAATGAATTATCAAGGGTGGTAAACACTCTGGTCCCAGAGTTTAGATATGTAAAAAGTAGGGAATTAGCCACTGAATTTAGATTTTAAGATTTGTATCCTTCTTCAAAGGCAAATAGAACTGGTACTGAATTTTGATACTAGGCAAACTTGCACTGTATGTTTTTATGTTTTCTTGACAGTCCTTTATGAAATTCTCAATAACTAATTCTAAGTGCTTCTAGTAGTTGTTGTACCTGTTATTTAGAACAGAAGTTATAACAGTGACTGTAAATCGAGAAACGGATGATTTAAATGGGGCTAACTAAAAAGCACATATCAGGAAACTGAAGTGGAAATCTTGGAATTACTCCAAGTTCACATAAGCAACACAGTCTGCAACACAACTCTGATGTTTTTTATTCTTAATGATTAAGAATGACTAATATTTATCTAGTTTATGCAATGGACAAAAGCAGACTTGAGAGCACAGCATATTTTTGCTCACCAAGTTGGCACGAACTACATGAATAAAAGATAAAGCTAGCATGCAAATGCTTAACCCAATTAAATGTCAACTGATTACCTCCTTAGAGCTGAATGTTTCATTTTCTGGAATACGCACTATGGCATGACTGGGCTGCCGGGCCAAGATGTCACAGGTTGGAGAGAGCATGATGTTAAAAACAGGAAAAAAAAATTATCAGTTCAATTTCTATATAAACTATCACTACAGTTTAATAACAAAAGCAAATACCCTCAGTCTTGCAAAGGATAGCAAGGCAATGAAAGCCTATTTGTCTTCAACAGGCTACCTGCCAAAAAAGCTCTCTTTCACTACTATTTTATCTGTATGAAAATCCATTTCAAGGTACAGTCTGTTTTCTATTATATCATATTCCATAATTAAAAGGGTGGGAAGGGATAGATCACTTTCCAATCTGAAGGAGGTATCTCAACTAAAAATCACAGCAAGGGCACCTGCCGTATAATACATCTGAGATAATGCATATAAAGTTATTTAAAATGCAATCGTATATTTGTCACTTTGAATATCCATCTTCTTAAATCTCCTCCAAAAGAGCTCTCCTTAATCTTACGTTTCATAGACATAAATCATACAAACACTTAACTAAAAAATGCTGTATAACAGAAATTAGTATGTGCAGAAAGGAGTTTTGGATCTCAGTGATTTTCCAGTGTTTTGAGTATTATATGACTTTCACCTGAGCAATGAAGTTTGATGAATATGACTCAATTGAACAACCACACCAATTTCAATAAGATTTTAATTAGTAATAGGTAAACTAGGTAATTAATAGGATAGTAATTAGGTAAATAGATAAGCCAGAGCTAATAAAGGCAATGTTAAGATCACAAGCTTATGATGTTTTCCTATGCAGTGACACAGAGACATCCTCTTTAGAGGAAAGCTTGCTGAAAGTGTTGGGGTTTGGGTATTTTAGACTTCTATGAAAACAAAGTTGGAAGAAGCCTACTTTCAGTGTATCAAAGGCATTACTTTGTTTTGGTATTTAGATCAAATAGTTAATTAACAGATGATGTGTTGCTCTAAAAGATATTGTTCTTGTCCTAAGAAGATTAATTTCGAAACTGTTTCTTGGAAGCAAAACTGATCTGCTAAACTGCCCCTGTATATAAAGAAGGATACTGAAGTGGAATATACTTTAATTTTCTGTGATTATGTAATAGATATGCTATGTATTGCTATCCCTCTTTGTAAATTTTCCCTGATTCATTTTCAGGGAAGCAGGAATCAACTCTATCAATAAGAGCAGCAGTTACAGAAGCTTTGACCCATTTTGCTTCTTTTTTTTTGCTTCTTCCCCCCCCCCAAAAAAAAAAAAAAAGAAAGAAAAGGCAAATTATTAACTTTAGGCACCGAGTTTATTTATTCATGAATTAAATGTAGACAAGGGAATAGTTTTAGGCAAATAAAGAGTAAGGAAGAAGTAAGAAACCTTGATCCTTTCAGCAGCAACATTTCTCCCTCTGCTGCATACTTGGCTCCTGAGTTTAGCCAGCACAGCCCCTAGACTTTACACCACACCACTACTGAAGCACTGACAGGAGGAATTTAATGGCTTAAGTGGGAGACCAAAGTCCTGTTTCTAAGCCAAGCACCCTGCAACTACCAAGGGTGGGCAAACCTTGGTGATACACAGGTACAAAGTTCTAACTAGACATGCAGTGTCATGACAAGCTCATTTAATTGAAATAAACCTTGGATTTATCTGTTGCCTCACCAGAATATACAGCTCTCCTTTCCAGGAAAAGAAGGGTCAATCACAAAGAGTGAAAAGTATTGATCATTTTCTCTTTACTTTGTGATGTGCACCTAAATTCTCTGAGAACTGTCTACTGCTTGTTGCAGTAAAGAAAAGCTCCCTAGCCAGGTAGTGATCTGAGAATGCAACAGCTCTTTTTCTCAAATTGCACAAAGACCAAACAATGAAAAATGCACTTTTATTGTGTTATCTCATCCTGGCCTTTCTTGCTAGTATTCATTGCCTGTCATGGTGACCTGAAATGCCTCTCTGAGTCATGATTCTTCCTTACCTTGTTCCTTGAGTATGAGGTTTCAAGTTCCTCCTTAGTTCTGACAAACCCAGTAATTTATTTTTTTTTTAATCCAAGAAATATATTTGCTTCCTTTATTTTGATAGCATCCTCTTTTCAATATAAAGACCCAACATTTATAGCAGTCTCCATAGGGTGGGAAATTATTTCTGGACATGCACACTTAACGTTGAATAATTTGGAGAGGCTTAATTGAAAGAAGTGAGAGGCAAACAAGAATTTAACTGATTAATAATGGAGAAAAAAAAACATTCAAAAGGCTGAAAACCTGGAGAAAAATTGAACAACATAAAGTTCTCTGCTTGCACCAGGCTTCTCTGACATAAGTTACCTTAGAAGAGTCTATACATTCTATAGTCAGGTGTCTGGAGACCTGATTTTGCCATGACATGGAGTCACATACGGTTACATTTATAAAAAACTTTTAAGTAGTACTTTAGTGAATATGCCGCACACAAACCAAGCGCTGCATTCTTTCTGCTGAAATAATGCTTAGTCTTGCAGGTCCCTGAAAGGAGGGTGTTATATTTTTTCCTGGAATTGTACAGCTATGCCTCTGCCAGCTGCAAAGGAGCTGAGTGCCTCGGCCTGGGTGACTTCATACTAATTAGCTGGAGGCTTTTTCACTGTGTTATTTCTATCAAGCATCAGTGTAATCTGAAATGTGTTAGACTTGCTATGGAAGAAGTCCTATGCCTGTTCTCCCAGAGTTTAACCAAGAGGCTACAGAGTCTTACTCTTTCCTCCATGATTTTTCCCTAAAAATATAATTCTTGTTTTCTTGAATGCACACCAAGCCAATCCCACAAACAGGATGGAACTTGCTGTCCCAGTGCTTTTGCTTTCTGCATCTGTGTGGGTATGGAATGGATTCTGCTGGAAAGGAGCGAATGAGTTTAAATCTCTGCAGGGTGAGATAAGCACTGTAATCAGATCTCTCACTGTCTGGGCAAGTATTAAAGAAGGGCATTGGCATCTCCATGCTGTCTTGTCTGTATGGCAGTCAGCCGGAGCTGTAGTAACAAGACAGCCTACCTGATTAAACTCAACCTTGTGCCTGAATCATAGTACAACTTACAGCACTAAGCACAGGGAAAAGATCCTCACAGAGAACGATCATCTTGGCAAAGATGAGCCATCAAGATCAGAGTACCAGACAGTCAACTTCAAAGTACCAGAATGCAAGGTAGGTTGAATGAGGTGGGATTAATACCCTTACTAGACACTGTGACTATCATCCCTCAGAGTTATACAGTAATGTGCTCATGTCCACAAGATCTGAATTATGATTTCAGCTTGGACTATGTACTTTTTATGTGTGTGTTGTCTTAATGAGATCTCATCAAGCTCTGTCACTGGCAGTCATTCAAATCCAGGTCAAAACAGGTAGCAAGAAACCTTAGTTTCTCCCACAAATGTAAAGGAATTGCAGCTGTTGATGTTGAAAGATGACAATATTGCTTTTATAATTTCTACTTTTAATGCCTTTGTCAGTTACAAAATTCTGCATTACTCTTACAAGGTTAATTAATAATTTTTAAGTTTCCAGATCTCACTCTATTTTCTTATGATATTTTCCTTATTCTTTCTGAGAAGAGTGAAAGAGAAAAATAGGCAAATCTGCTTTTGTGGCTGCAAAAATTGTACTGTGGAGGGTGGATATCCTGACAATATTAAAGTATGTAAAGCATGTAAGATCAAAGGAAAATTATATGCTTGGCCAAAATAACCTTTTGCAGAATCAGCCAAGGCATAAAAAAAGGTGATTATATAATATCTTAGTTAGACCTTTGTTCATTTAGCTCTGTAGGGTAATCAGTAAGACATATTTGCCTTTAAAAGGTCGGTTTATCTTTATTGTGCTATGAATCACAGCTGTCTCTGAATAATATAAAGCTTTCTGAGGTGTTCTCAAGGTAAGACCTTTTTCATAAATCTAAGTGACTCTCTAGAGGGTCTGCAACCTTTGCTAATTGAGGCACAGGTTTAAAACCCTTTGGAACCAGACAAGGTACATAAAAAATAAGAATGTTTCAACTATAGTAACCAGAGAACATTCATGTATACACTATTCTTTCAAGCTACTCTGTTAAGACCATTAAGTTAAGCCACTTTGAAAATAAATAGGTAATATAGATTTCTGTTGGAGCAATCCCAGGCACAGCTACAGGCTGGGCAGAGAAGAGATTCAGAGCATCCCTGCAGAGAAGGACTTGGGGGTATTGGTCGATGAGAAAATGAACATGAACCAGCTTCAGTGTGTGCTCGCAGCCCAGAAAGCCAACCGTATCCTGGGCTGCATCAAAAGGAGTGTGACCAGGAGGTCGAAGGAGGTGATCCTGCCCCTCTACTCTGCTCTCATGAGACCTCACTTGGAGTATTGTGTGCAGTTCTGGTGTCCTCAACATAAAAAGGACATGGAACTGTTGGAAGAAGTCTGGAGGAGAGCCACGAGGATGATCAGGGGACTGGAGCACCTCCCGTATGAAGATAGGCTGAGACAGTTGGGGCTGTTCAGCCTGGAGAAGAGAAGGCTGCGTGGAGACGTCATAGCAGCCTTCCAGTATCTGAAGGGGCCTACAGGGATGCTATGGAGGAACTCTTTATTAGGGACTGTAGTGACAGGACAAGGGGAAACGAGTTAAAACTTAAACAGGGGAAGTTTAGATTGGATATAAGGAAGAAATTCTTTCCTGTTAGGGTGATGAGGCACTGGAATAGGTTGCCCAGGGAGGCTGTGAATCCTCCATCCCTGGAAGTGTTCAAGGCCAGGTTGGACAAGGCCTTGGGTGATATGGTTTAGAGCAAGGTGTCCCTGCAAATGGCAGGGGGGTTGGAACTTGATGATCTTAAGGTCCTTTCCAACCCTAACTATTCTATGATTCTATTATTCTATAAGATTTGCATGAAACACAGAGTCATTTCTTCACAACAGGAAAAATTGCTAATTTCTAAAACACTAAAAAAGTTTGTTTATACACATATAATAAGTAAACTTTTTTTATAAAACAATTTTATAGATAATTACTTTTTCTGAAT